AAGACACGCCTTTACCCATTCTGGTCGGACCATTGCCAAGTTACATTTGCAACTCATGATCTCAACCTGACAGACCTTGTGAATTCGTTCGCCATGGGGAATTCAAAAGTTAATTAGTTCAGAAGACTGCTCGTACCACTTTGCCTAGGCCCCAACCAGCCACACATCTGTCTCAGAACTATAAAAAACGCAAACATGAACGTGCAGACTCGTGTTGACGTTCCAAAACGGTCATTGCTTGAACGTAAAATGAAACGGATGGGCGCCACCGACAGGCGTACGCGGTATCTCAAGCTCCGCATTGAGATCTCTGTGTGCTGACGTTCAACTAGCAGGCACGAGATCATAGTACCGTGAGGCGGCGCGAATGTATAAGCTTGTGTGTCAACTTAATAGGTTAATTTCTAATCCCTGTAATTAACTTACTGATTGTAATTGCACATATGCATCGGTCGCTGTAACTCGCAATGTTCATCAGCAAACTTACTTTCTAATTGAAAGATAGATTATGTGTTGATAGAAAGCTGAAAACCGCATTCACCTGATGAGATGCAAAAAAAGAACGGATTCCATAATGTGCTGTCGGAGGGCTTCCAATCACCTTTTAAGTAGTGTGTTATGTCCGGAAAATCCAAACTTAAACGTGATACGTCCTAACTGTCAGTAGCCCTCTTCGAAGTAACATTAACCAGCTTGCTAATAATCAGTGGATCTCATATTCGTCATCTGAGCAAGTTAGCCAACTGGTGATAAAGGTCAACCATTAACAAAAACCCAGTATCTCGAGTTCCTTCGATTTACTTCGCTGAACCTACTTATACCAGTTAGTGGCGATTTCAAAATACCCCTTGGAATCAAACAAGAATGAAGTGCAAGACAAAATCCTAGTCACCTTCTCAGGAGGGATCACGCGCCCAAGCTGTTATCTTCAATGCATAGCTTCCCCTCTCAATCTTCGCAATCAAGAGTTCCCTGAGACCTCTGGGTTCACGCATGAGTTTCATCATTTATTGTCTTCACGAAGTAACTATCCACCCGTATCTCAGCAGAACACCAGCGGACGCAAACTCGGCAGCTATAACCTCTGCAAAACATGCGGGCTTCGCAGCTGAATACGATAATGAAGACTGAGAACCCGGCTTATTAACAATGCCGATGCCTTCGAAAGTAGCTGCGAAGTTATCTACACCCCACGGGTTTTTCTGCAGGCTCGAGGAGCCAAGAAAGCGTGATATTTCGAGCGGCTCATGTATAGGTTTTGTTATGACGGAACTGTATTTCTGCGAGTCATCGGAAAACTGCACACTAATGGAAGGATTGTTGGATTTGGTCGGGTGTGCTCGAACGTCAGGGCATAGTTGACTCCAACAAGTCTAGGGTGTATACTGAATCCGACATTCTCGCGTTGACTTTTGCGAAGATAAACTGCACATGGGGGCAAAATAATCCCCCTGACAAATCATGAATTCTACAGATTGCCGCTGATTTTTTTCTGGGCTGGACAGTTTTATTTCCAAATGTTTCATCAACAATCCAGTGGATATCATCGGTGCGTTGTGACTGAAATTGTGCTGTTAGCTGAAGTACGTGGTTTCTGCACCTGCATGAGAGTGATATTGGGGCCCAGGTACCCCGGTCAATATTAGTTAATCATTGGTTATTTGGGTGAGCATTCATGTTGGCTTGTTGGCTAACCTGCCTTCTGAGTGGTGGATGTCCGGATGGCTCTAAGAATTGACCCCCCGGTTTCCTCGTCCTCCCATAGTGCATTCCGTTTCTTGGAGCGTTGGTGTGATGGCCTGGTCCGACTCGGTGTCGGGCCGTGAGCAGACGGGGTCGATTTTGACATACCGGTTGACTGAATCCTTTGCAGAGTGCCACGCTCCTAGGAACTCTCTCTTTCATACTGTGCTTCCACGTGCCATTATCCTTATATTGTCTAAATTAAACCTGTGGCCTTCTTGATCTTCACGTACAGTAATAAGAGTTAGTGGGTTAGGTCTTTTTGATGACCACGTTGTGGTTATTCCCTCCGTAGAAAGTTTTACCTTTGTCAATGTTACGAATTACTCTTCAGACATACTGAGTTGGGGTTCACCGGACAGCCAAAAAAGCCACCTCGTGTTCAACAGATGTTAAACTTATCTCAGTTCTCAGTAGGGGTCATTTCGAGTAGATTGGTGGGTGAGCTGGTGCAAGCGATTATTCTGTTGAATGTTACTGGACGAGTGACTTATTCCAGGAGGATTTTGGACGAATTGGAGTTCATCAGTTCACCACCATGTGTAACAAGACTGATTGTGATGCTAATTCGAGCCACATGACCATCATAAGTAAGTTGTGCATCTGTTTTATGGAAATAACGTAAAATTCGAACAGGGTACACGTATGCTTTATTGCTGGAATAGTCGTGCAGGATGTGGAATCTCTGGGTGGCATGAAGTTTCCAAAAGCTAAGAGGGGCCTAACTCGTCCTCGTACTGTCCGTTAATACAGAAGCTTGTATTTGAATATTTGTAATTTCTTGACAAACGTGAAAAAAAACACAAAAAACAAGAACGAAAATAGATGGTGTTGGTTGTGAAAAATTGGATACAGGAGTATATTATTATATACACCTTGCACATGCTTCTTACATTCTAATCACCGGGTAAGTCGCTTTTTCCCGAAGAAAAACGGTGCGGTTTGCCTCTTTTCTGGATGGTGTACTGGCTACCACGTTGCATTTATGCTGAATGTTTGTTGAACCAATATTTGGTCACCAGAGTTTTAATACACAATTTTCAGTTAGAATGGTTCTTCCACGTGTTCACCTTCCCCCTCCCTGTCACTCAGAAACCCCTCACAAAAAATTCATGGCGTTTAAGCCTCTGTGAAGCTTCAGAAAAGTGAAAAACGTTGCCTGCAGTTATATATGGCTCCTTACGGATTAAGCTCTTCAGACATTTAGCTTACGATGTGTGTCTTCGGAACGGAGGGAATCATTAAATCGTGACTGTGCTTGCGCTCTCGCCTCGCTTAAATTGTTCTCGTCAACTAACTAACTAATATCAGTGAACTGGTACTTAAATAGCCTGATTCTTGACTCGGCTGAAGAACGTTCCATCTCACGGAATACACTCATTTGTAAGCCAATCTAGTTTTACTCAGAGTCAGTATCTCTCATTTGTCGTGTTCGTCTTCAACGGACTTTGTTTTGAGTTCATACGGGATTACAGGTACCGCGATATATTTTCTTGACGAAACACATCGCTCGTAAGGTAACTGAAGACTCCGCCAGCTCACAACCATTCATAAAAATAAACTTTCGGATATCGTACACCTTACTAGATTAAAAATGATGCAGCTGTTGTGCAGCACATTCGTTTGAAGGATATCATAATAGACAGACCCAGCTTGTCCTCAGGTGAGTCGTCTCCCACCATCACCAACTCAATTTGCAACCAACTTTGCTCAGGGTTGAGCCAAGTGCTCTCTGCCGGGGGATCTTGCCGGAATACTTGTCAATCACTACTCTTCCACTGTTCCACAACCAAGCGCTCTACTAAAAAATTAAGATCTTCATATCCTGAGAACGACCAGTGATCCACCAGGCCACTGATAGTTGTATTTAGTCACTCACAAAGCGCGGTTGAACGGAATAGTTTGCATACTAAATGCGCCAAAACAGGGGTCGTTTCAGTAAACGTTGTTTCATTGAGCTTTGGGATAGTCTGGGCTTGAGTGAAGGTCAAATTAACATGTGAGTCTAATTTCGGCTTAAGATTCAGATATTCACGATGCATTAAAATGCCATCATTGTCATCAGTAGATTCAAACCGGAAAAATTTCCGATCTTCTCGGCTAACCACTGGTCTACTTACAAGTATAGATATCGAGGAAATGAGTCACGCAATCAACTATTTTCTTGTGAGCTTAATAAAAAGACGACAAACTGATGGTTGACGCATGACCTCACGGATGACCTCACCATTCGTACTGCAATGGTGTCAGAGAAAAAAAACAGATAGAGAAGTCGACAAGAACGATTCCGATGCACAATCACTGCACACATACCAACACAAATAATATATCCATGATATCGATATTGTTATATATATATACCCCAAATGTGACCAGTCAAAAGAATTTTGTGTCAAATGCAAAGCGCTCAAAACCATCGCGGACCAACAGAACATGATTAGTTTGGAATATTGGATTCAGCTAACGTGAGGTGACTGGAGACAGATTTAATGTTGGCAAAATTTCCGAGACTCTTGTGAACAGTTTGATGTGTGAGAACAAAGCTACTGATGTGCTATCCATCCCAGATTAGACGGGGATGGGCTGACTTGGGCTAGAGCGAAGAAGGATCTCCCAGGGCTTTACACAGCTCATCATTGTGTGGGTCTGACCTCTCGGTAAACTTATATATATATATATATATATATCAGACATTTGTTCACCACTTCAAAGCTGTTCGGTATTTATGTTCTGTTTGGTATCTCACACCAGCCCACGTCAGACAAAACTATGTGTATTACGTTAGGATGCAACCAAACACGCCTGACTTTCCAGCAAACATCCGAATTTCTCTTAATTCATGTGCGTAAGTCTCATAAGATTTGGATGATGATGTTGACGATGCTTGGCCGTGAAGAATACGTCTCTGTTTTACATCCAAACCGCTTCACCTGGGCAAATTGTTAGCCTTTCGAGTCCCAATAAAACAATCACTAATACAAATATGTATTCGGCCCAAAACAGTCACATCGTCATCCATTGAACTCGGACACTTGGAGCAACGCGGATCACCTGGGGTGGAGCATCGTTTTGAAACGGGTCTAGTGTAACGTTTGGGGGCACATCGTCATCCTAGAGTGGCAATAATGGTTGTTCTATAGGCGAAGTTGGATTGTGTTCCACATTAGTCAGTGTGGCAAAATATATAACTTTTGAAGTGCACAGAAGCAGGGACTGCAGTGTCTTGTGTGCAGACAGACTAGGTATGTAAAACACTTTTACAGGTGGTTCCAGGCCATTACATGAGTTGCGTAATAGCTCAGGTTGAACGAGCTATGCGGTACACCATGAACAGCCTCGAAAGCGGTTTTGCTGGCTAACCAGAATTCTAGGATATCGTAGGCAATCGGTTCAATATCCGGCATGAATTTGTTGGCGAAAAAGTTTGGCGCGGTGAATAAACGAGGCAAGTCACCGATACCCAACATGCATATGAATCTAATGAAGCGTTTACTGCCACAAGGTTCACCAGATATCTTCCATATCTTCAATCGTGGTATCAACCCAGTCACCGTTTCCTCATGCGTTCCCAAAAACGCTCCGGGGATTTTGAAAACATGCGGATTATGGTTCAATGTTGGGAAGAAAGCCTCGTCCGGAAAAATTTCTCGATTCACCATTGATTCGTGAGCTTTCAACGCCACGAGTAACTGCTGCGCTTTGTTGTCGTTGTTCATGTATTCGACAAATTCACGTCTGACCACGACATGAACGGATCCTTTGTACCAGGTTATCTGCAACAAGAGAATAACAAAATGCTTGCATTAACATACGGTTTTGCTCTTGTCTAATTCTAAGGCGAAGAAGGTGTGTGTTCTACTGGACTTAGTTCCACCATTGTGATTAGTCAAAGATTTTGACGACTACTTTTTATTTCTTCTATTTGATTGCTTCTTGGACAACATTTCGACTACTGTAGTGAAACCAGTCTACTGAGTAGTTATCAAAAAATACGCTAAGAAACGGACTGAGCTATTTAGCTGGGAGGTCACGGGTTCAAGACTCCTGGAGTTTCATGAGGTGTGAGCTGATGGTGAGTTCTGACAAGGATGAAACAGCCGCACAATGGTTCTCAGCTTTTGAGCATAGACTGATCTCAATGACAGGACGATATTTCCATTAAAAAAGGGTCCTAGAACTACAGTACAGCGTCAAGTGTCATTTCGATGGTATCCGCTGAACTTCATGTCCACTCAATTCGTTCGTTCGACTCTTTTGTTGGGTTCCTTGCTGTGAGTGGGGTACTCAAACTGCGCGAGATTTGGTCCACAGATAATCAGTCATGTTACATTTAGAAGCCACGCCTTTCATGCTATGTGGGAGCAGATTGAATTGGAGGACTTACTTACCCATTCAAGATGGTGACCGAACTCTCACAATCCCATTGTCAAGATCGGAGATGAAGACCGATGAAGACCCGCTAAATTCTACGTCCCGTAATCGATATTTTCAAAATAGTTCACAGTTTTCTATTTGTTTAGACGTTCGGGACAAATTCTAACGGTCAATGTGCGAGTTACCATGTTGGGATGGACTCGACTTGGTCGAAGTACCCGGATCTTGACCATTTGGTCAACAGGGTTTTTTGTTGTGCACTTTCTTTCAAAATTAATGAGACTTAAATGTTACTTTGATATTCATTGAGCTTCTTATCTGTTTTATGACAGACGTACTGAGGTTTGATGTTCCTCGATTATTCGAAACTGCTCATCTTCAAGAATGGCACCATATATCCTTAGCGTCTTTGGATCGTAGTTATTGTCATTCTGATAACCAATTAAACGTGTCAGCAATCAACAAACCGTCCTCTTTTCGATTTAGTGTTTGCTCTCTGCAGAAACTTTCTATGTCCCTGTCAAACTGGGTCTATTTTTCGAAATAATTCGCAATGTCGGTTACTAAAACAATCAAAAGGAGCATCGTACTGGTGGGTTGCGAAACACTATTGCAGCAACCCGTTTCTTTCGATTTTTTTCGCTGTCCTTCATCTTTGGACTTTCACACTTGCAAAACATTCCCCTAAATTTGTTACCAGTACTGACTTGTTACCCGAAGAATCTCGAAATATCTTGTTAGAGTGCAAACCTTTATACAGACCGGATGAAGACAAATACAGGAACATCAGGACATCTTGGGACATGCAACGTCTCTCATTATGTACTGCACTGAGTTTTGCCGATGTTTTGTCCTCGATTCTAACCGTAATTCTACAATCCCCCCCTAACAGCTCATCCACAGTATCGAGGCTATTCCAGCTACGTGTAGGACTATGCCCACATGTATTTGGACTGTCTCTTGTCTACCAATCAGTTATCCTGGAAAGAAAAACCAGGCTTTGCTGATTTGAAAACATACTGCTCTCACATACTTTCCACACAGCCAAACTGTAGTGTTTATTTGGTGTCCTGATATCGGAACCAACCACGACCTTTCGTCCAATTCACATCTGTGGTATTCACCTGCCACACATACAGAACTCCAGACCTCCTTAAGAGATTGCCTTCTCTGAGGTGGGGTAATTGTTCTGTTTTCATTGGTAAAGCAGCCATTTGGACCGTGAAGATCTCAAATTGTAAAGTCACTGAACGTGACTTGCTTCAACTCGTGAGGGCATTTGATGTCTTTCTGTAATGGCTAGTCTGCATACTTCTTTTACCTTATGGATAGCCAAAGTACGTTGCGAACGCAGAGCATGGCAAGCCACCAACTGAACGCCTCTGGTCCTCAGACCGAATTGACTGGTTTTTTGCTACTCGGTGTATTTGGAATCCAGTCGTTTCTGACATTGAGCACACTTTAGCTTGGTATTGCAGTTCATATGTTGGAGGAAACCTTTAGTGTGATTAGTGGCCTATCGAAAGAAATTTTCTGTCAAGCGGATTTCGTTGTATTACCTTAGTTTAATCCAATTATTATTGTTTCTAACGTATAGAAAATTATTCATACATGCCTGTTAATTATAAATTAGCACATTTTAACCATATTCATGGTGGATCACGACTGGAAGCCTTGGGCACCCGACGTGTTTTCCGCAAGTCGGTGTCCTTCAACTGGCTTTGAACGCGTTTCACAACAAGATGTCTAACACGGTCTTTCCACACAAAGTCAAGACCGCTCGGAAATCTTACAAACAGCTGTTTTTAATATGTAGTGAAACTTCAACTGTCCAAAGTCCAACAGAGCGGATAAAATCAAGGACGGTTGGCTTCGAAGGTGTGTCATACACTATATAAATGTCTGAGTGATTTCTGCCAAGACTGAAGGCTGTACCATAGCGTCGGTGGACTGATACGTTGATGCAGTATATCGCCGTTGTTCGTGTCCAGATATTTTAGCCAACCGCGGCTCCACCCTGGAATCGGTCTACACACTGAGAAATACAAATAATATGGCTATTTAAGTTCTTTTCCTGTCAGGTGATCGAGTGGAGCTTCTAGGAAATTCAAAAAATGTGCTTGGGTCAAAGGTTAAGGATGCGTAACCTAATGGCGTATTGAGTGAAAGCCAAAACTTAAAAGAAGATTTGATCTCTTTGATTTATATTTTCTTTTCAGTTGAATCTATGGGACAATCTGCACCCATTTTATTCCACCTAACAGTCAGTGGAGGTTATCTGTCGGTTTCTCTTCTAGAGTACAAGAAGACTTACTTTCGTTCATCAAGGAAATAGCGTTTTTTGCTATGAATTTTACGGAAGGTGAGGTTGAAAAACAGCGTGGTCATATAATGTTTTTGTGGGAAATTTTGGGGACGCTATCATTCCATGTTTAGTGCCAGAGCTTCTCGACAGGCCCGCAACCACATTTCTCTCTGATATTCCAGTTCACGATTAGTAGCTAGATTTGTTTAACTTCTGGAAATAACTCCGAACTGAATAGTTACTTTATCTTCCTAACCCGATGTGGCTTTTTTTCTGCTCACGCCCGGGGTTCAAAATCTGGTCAGGCCAAAGGTAGGCTTTGCTTACATGCTCCGATTAGACCAAAGCCTTTCTAATCAGGCTGAGTAGAAAATAACCGAGCCAGGATAATAGGGGGACGAACCAAAGGAAAGTAATGCAAGGAAAGACAAACAAACCAGTTTTATCCGAAATGTATGATCAATCGGACTTATAATATAGACGCAAATCGCCTGCGTCAACAGCAGTAGAAGCAGATAATGGCCACTTGCTTTTTATAGTCGAGACATAAACAGCCGGCTGCAAAAGGGTTGCGGTTGTGGGCTCAAACTTCAACGACAATGGGCTCAATTTGTACTACAAGTGAACAATAATACCGTTTCGGTGCTGTTGTTTTAGACAGCTGATCGCCGGCAGATTGATCGTTGATCGATCGTGACAATACCAATCACTTTGGAAGTGTTAACCTACCATTGGCTATACAATGGGTTGCACAACAAGAAGTCTTGAGTGATTCTGAAATTACTTTGGTAGGTTATGCCACTCCTTCGCATTGTTATGGACAGAATAGCACTAACAACGGATACCTTTATTAATCCTCTATACACAAAAAGACCATTTGATGTGGCGAGAGACGATGCAGTGAATGCCAATGGAAGAAGACTAGGAACAAAACTGAATAAACCGACAAGGTTGTTGTCATCGATTCATTTTACTGACCCACAATATAATCACATGATGTTTGGGACACTGTCAAGGTCTTGACAGAAGAACGCCCATGGTCATCGGTTCAAACTGTTGACTCAGCTGACAAACAAAAGCAGCAGTGGTCACGAGAGTAGCCCAGCGTTTAGCGACAGATTTCTCCGCACATCTCTTGTTTGAAGTCTGAAAGGCTAGGGCTTTTTGTCTGCTAGGAAAGACCACAACAGTGCTGCACACCATGCAGTAAGACTTAAGGCACTGCCAAGGCACACAAATGGTGGTAGTTTGAAAACGTTCTGTTTCTTCACGATAGTCCGGATTGCACCACATCTTTGGCAACTTTTAGCTGCTATGAAATCTGCAAGACGCCTGCATACAACATCAAGTGAAATGGAACCTTAAATCAATGAATGAGTGGCAAATTAAAGAGAAGATGAAGCAGAAGGACGATTACCACTTTGCCGACATATGGAAAAGTTTGGACACACAAACTTCTGGATATCACTATCAATACTTTCCCACTGTTTGGTCATTTTTAGTGTGTGCAGTTTTCCTGTCTTAAACGCATGCAATTAAATACCGTCTCATGCGGCGCTCCGTGATAATGTCGGTTGAAGGCGGCTGGCATATGAGTATCTGTACTAAACTCACCCCCCGGGTCTGTTTGTGAGGAAAACATCCGTTGCGTCTTCGATCTGGATTTGCTTAGCGTACGGACTAACTTTTTCGTGGGGATAGCTCCTTGTATACTACTCATTAACAAACATTGAATTTCCGATTTCCTGTAGTTGTGTATCATTGGTTATTTGCCAACCAAATCTTTAAAAGCCACCGCAAACTCCAAAGTTTGGTTTAACAAGCTGACTGTTCAATTTTTGCTGGCAACTTCCATTCTGTATAGTATTGTATTAAATTCATTTTGTTGCAGTTCACTGATCTGTATGCGTCTAATCAGTTTTGTGGACCGGTAGGTGACCTTTTGTGTACGCTGTGGGTTTCAATCTTCACATGATTTAAGAGTCATGGATAATCAGTTGGGCTTGTTGATAGCATTGCAACTGTCCTCCATATTTGTCCTCCAGTCTTACTCAACCAATAGCTCACGTTGAGTGCAGGACTTTTGGCGGTTTAACGCGAACAGCATGTGGCACTGCCTTATATGCGACGGTGTCCATTGGCATTATAGCACGTATCATGTAAGTTAAGAAACGGATGCCAGTCAGCCCTTAATTGGCCAGTCTCTCCCAGAATGGCCCAGTACATAATTGCTTCTTTTTTGTTGTACCCCTAGCGAGTTTCACTATTATGAATCCTCCAAATTTCTAAGCAAATGTTTATGAAGATGACTGCGAAGATGACTGTGACCGTTCCATTTGGCTTGTTTACACTGCTCGGTACATCTTTGATTGAGCCAGGCATATTCCAGTGTTTACACCATCCTGGAGCACGCAGTACTTAATTGACGTCAGCAAGTCGTAGGTGTTCTTGTGCAGAGCAAATGTAAATACATCTGCTTGACAGGATTTCCAATGACTGGTACATTGAATTTATGATCTTAGAAAGAACATGGTAAGCGAACCCTGGGGGTAACAAATCTGTACCCTATCCATAGAAGTATAGATTCATTTTGCTGTTTTTGCGAAAAATAACACGCCCTTTACCGTCTGGTGCCTACCTGTAAATTAAATAAATAAATAAATAAATAAATAAATAAATAAATAAATAAATAAATAAATAAATAAATAAATAAATAAAAAACAAATATATATAAATAATCAGGAACAATAGGTTAAAACTAAGTAGCACCTGAGTGTTTCTGGTCTGGGATGTCGACGGGCATCTGTGGAGTTTTGCCGCATCTCAAAATTTTTGGGAGCTCCCGGACGAACTTAGAGTCATTGCGGTCCCCTCAGGACGGATGGTATCTATGCCTTGATTGGATTTCACAGCAGCCTGATATAATTTAATGAAGGGGGGATTACTGACTGGTTGAGAACAGGTTGCACAAATTTCAGTTAGCGATTACTGTAGTTTGGTCTCCATACATGAAGAGAGTTCTGTGTGAAGTCAGGCTATTTAAATGGTTGCCTTATGGCTGAAGGGAAAAACTACTGACTTTTTTGGCAAAATTTGTTGACCTCATCATGTCTGTTTTTGTCTGAGGATCCGTGGTTATACCATCCTACCATGCAGTGGAGAAATCAGGTCCCGACTAACGAATGTGGTTTTTTTATCCGGAGTATTTGATAGGGTTTCGAGTAGTACGGAGTGTCAAACAGCCCTCAACTGCTTCATGGTTTCATCGATATCATTCATCAAAATCTTATCAGGCTCGTCTAAGGTGATACCGCCGAACCGAACACCAAAGGTTTCCTTTTTGTCAACAAATCTCAACTTGAACAAGGGTTATCTCAATGAATGAGTTTGTATGCACCTTAGCTCATCCGTTTTTGAAAAAGTAAACAGGATATAGTAACACTTTCGACAGAATATCCTCGGTCTCATGCTCAACCTATCCATGGAACATGTTGAGAAAAGGTCACTCTTTGGTCTCCTATTTGGCCGCAACTGGAACTATCTCACTTTTCAGGAACAATCCGACACGCACGCGAACCATTTATGATACTTTCGGCTGGATTTGCTGACTACAAGTAAAATATCGCTTATAAAGTTTTTCCGGATGTTTATGCATGATGATGCATGAGCGTAGGGAGCCATTCTGACGGATCGAAAATAGGACACTTCGTTAACTAATAGAAATATTGTATACCAAACACTCCAAGGGGGTTGTCCACAAAGAAGGGCCATTCTTCTAGATGAAACGTCAGAAAGTTCTCAGCTCACCAAGGGATAAAGCGATATATACCTCCTGAAGTTAAATCACCCTTAGAAGAAGCGATGGGGTCTTCAACCCCCTGAAAACGACTGTGGCTGAATCCTAACGCAAATAAGATGAATAGGTCCAAAAAGAGTTCAGTTGGTTTGCCAGTAGACACCTAAGACCTTTCTCTAAACCTGTCATTTCCATAAATGATAAAGAGACCATAGAATTTGGATCAAAACCTGATTGTCAGTTCCACTGCGTGAATCCGCCTGATTTACCCGTGGTGTGTGACCCAATAACTCCTCTCACTCTCTGAGCGTGACCGACTTGTGCAATGAATAGTTTTCATGTATACCTGATGAAAGTTTTGTCTTTTCGAGCGGGAAATTCCTGCTATTTCTCCCTTTTTGGTGAACTCACTTCACTCTATGTGGTATCCAGCAGACTTACGACTGTCTGAAGCGCTCGAATGCACTCACATTAAGATCAACAGCACCCTCAGGTGGAAGCCGCTCAATATATCGATTTCGGTAGATTGCCTCAACCAAATTCGTCCCATTCAATGCGCGTAAAGCCAGTACCAATTCCAAGTTCGTACGAATTGGAAATTCCTGACCGGTCAGATTGATCCAATACTTCCATCTCTTTCCACGAGCAAGAAGCAATCGAGAACAGGTAAGGTCTGGCTCCAGTTCGGTGAAGTAACCCCAACGCACCTTGGTTCGCAGATGATCTGGCACAAAGAATATATTCGGACCGATACATTCCGCAGCCCGTAATAACATTTGTTCGTATTGCTTTGAGGATTTTGCATCCACGTGGACACAGTAGAAATTATGTGGACGGTGAATAGCTAACAACAGCCGAATCACACGTTCAGGATGTGTGTACACCTGAAGACTGAAGGCCAGCGGGAATTCTTTCTCCACAGGTGTAACCATATAGGTGTAAGACAGCAACGGTATACCGAAATTTCTGAGGCAGTTGTCGGCGATGACACGTTCCGAGTCTTTCCCAGCGATTTCAACCGGCCGCTGAAATTCTCGGAGAGAAATGACAAGTAGGAAGATAAATCCAATCGCAAAAGTTGAATAGAATAATTTTCTCCTAATTCTAATAAATCCGTCAGTAATGTAAGCGATGTAGATCATTTCTCAACAATCAATAATGGGTACCAGACGTTCTGTATATTTTATCGTACACTGGAATCAGTTGTGAGTAATAGGACTGGCAAGTTGATTCGCCAAGGTCACAGTCATTGGAGGTTAGAAAAACAACATCTCTTTCTGTTTGTTTGATTGGCTTAGTCAGTATCGTGGATGTACAAACGAGAGACACAAGCTCGATCTACAGCTCGGATTATTCGTTCAATAGATTCGATATGCGACGTTCCCGATGTAGTCTGATAAACCTGCGACAGTGGATGGTGAATAGCCTAACGTGTAAGATCCACGAAATCCAACATTTGCATCACGACGACGAATTAAATGAAACATGGTGTTTCGAGAGACAATGAATGAGTGTGCTCCATTTTTCCATCCTTCTTGACAGCTGTGACAGCGGGTCGGATCCTAAAATTCTTTGTAATGGATGGAACCTTTTCCAAATGATTCACAGAGGTCAATCCTGCTCGTCCGAAAGAATCCACCCATAGGAAAGGTGTCAGTTAATCGCGGTTTGTCCATCCACGGACTAACTAGGGACCGGAAAAACCAAAAGCTAACGTTGATGTGATAAAGGTTAGGCAGAGGGTTAAAGTACTGTAGCGGACTAGGACCATATCAGCGTGTTCGGATAAATTAACAAGCAAAAGTAACCAATACAAAATCACAAAATCACAATAGGAAAGGAATGAGTAGTCAAATGGGGACTCACGAATGTGTAGATCCAATAGTCCACTACACCGACCCAAATGCAGTAACTGGCTGTGAAAGGAAATATTCACTTGTCGAAATTCACCGCAGATGGGTCCGCGTGAGTGATATATTCCACGGCAGGAAAATTATTCACGGCTAAAAAATTCCACGGGGATTTATTGCGACGTTCAACAGTTGACACAAACACAGAGATTTAGTCCCACTTGTTCAGCAGTCAACAAACGGTTCAACGGAGCGTAAATGCACTCGTTCAGCAAGAAGTCAGCAGGTCGCACCGGAAAATTGTGTATTCGTAACATTAAAACGAACATCATGATACAATGTGAACGACGATTACAAAGTATGGTTCAAGTTCAGGAAGAATGGTAAATGTGACAACGGATTACAGACACTACACATAACTATCTAGCAATGAATACAGAATAAATGACAGCATCTCTGAGGGTCCCAAGTTGTTTGGTGTACTGAAACACGGGCCTTAATTATCAAAACAGGCAGAGGGTTAAAAAACTCTGATAAATGGAGTGCTGACCTCCGTTCTTCGAAAATGTGCTAGTCTTCTAATCTAACCTATTCAGCGTTTCAACCAAAGCCTTGGTGTACCTGTGGGAACTTCGGGAGAGTAGTGTGGACCAGGGTTTGAGGACATTCGGGAGTGGCTTATATAGTGACCCTAATTGGTTTCTGTCTCACCATAATCGTCTATGGTCCATGGTAGTCAGCAGTTTTATAAAAGCTACTTAAACACCAGGAAATAAGAGAAATGGATCACAAAAATACTGAGGATGAAGCAAACATGGAATAAGATTCAGAGATGATAGGTGAAACAGGATGAATTAGAGATTTTATTTGAGAATAATCACGAGTAAGCTGGAAACATAGGTATTTCCCAATGCAAACATTCCTTCTTGATCGATTGCTTCGTTGCTAGCTATGGGTTGGCACAAGCTTGGGAATTAGTTCAAGAAATCCCACTCAAGATGCCACGATGACTCAATCAAACGAATAGTGCCTTCAGCAGTGCATGGTGAGATTCGATGATACCCACTGAACATCCTTTCAGTATGCTTGTACCAGGCATCGCTTTCCGCGTATCCTACTCAACGATAGCTGCAATTCAGTGACTGTGAGTAGATTCTCACATTTCATTGCTTAGAAATCCTCTAATGCTTTCTCACCATGGTATATGCATATTCTTGTTTAGGCTATGTGAAAAAAGTAACTGTTTTAGTTAGTCGTGAACGCGGTAAAAATATCCTGAGAGGGATGCAATTTTCACGACTGAAACAGGGCTAAAAAGTTCCGTTCTTTTGAGTACCGTGACAACCAGTAGTGTGAAAGCTAAGCACTAAGCAGACAAAAGATAGAGTCATCAAAGTAAAGAACGGCGGCTCATTCAACATACCAAATGAACTGAAAATTCAACAAACCTGTATCAGTTTTACTTCTCAAACTGAGCGACCGCCCTATCAGGGAAAAACAAATACACTTGTCAAAGATCGATGTAAAAATTGCCTCCGTAAGTTTCATCTCAAACTAGGTTCGTATCTATTCGCACTCCATGTCAGACAAACAGAACACTCTCCTTTTCGTCCGACTCTCGCAGGTTTGTATAAGCAGTTGGACAAAAAATTCTGGAAAATTTTCATGCCATCTTAACTTGGATTTGTAATCGTTTCAGAGGTCAGCAAAAACCTACTTCTGTCTTGAAGCCTAGCCCTCCTCATAGAAAATTCCCACCGTGTTGTGGGAGGTATTTCGACCATTCGGGGGCGTCCATTTGTAACAGTGGTAGAAATACTTTAGGTAAAATCACCTACCCAAATCGGGAGAGTTGAAGGCTTCGAAGTAACTCATGCAAGGCACTATCGTGCTCTTGTTCTGAACCACATACCCGTCAACTTCTGCTTTAAAGCCACCGAGTGAAGTCCTCTACATTTATCTCTCCGCTTGCAGCTGTTCCTATTGAAGTGGGAAAATGTGATTTCAAGTTTTTCCTACATTCCCGTGTTTTGAAACTAGCTTCTTGATTCCTCAGTTTTGCAACAGTTCATTTTATAAGAAAAGAGGAGTAAGTACGTCGCTGGTCCCTCAGACCTCTTCCAGTAGGATATTTGGGTGAGGAATTAGCGCACAACCAGATTCGACAGTGTACGGCAGTTTTGGAAGAAACGTCCCTGAAGATGTGTCCGGATGCGCCGTACCTCAAAGCTGTTCAAGTTTGTGCAAAAGGTTGTTCGTCAGGTACCAATTGTCATATGTACAGAGTTCAAATCCTGGCTAATGAGTCTGATTAAGAATGGAACCCAAGTTTAATGCTTTCCTGTTTGGTACGGACACACCAAAATGATCACGCCAGGAAGGGAGGGAGCATTGTTTAAATGACAGTAACGCAAATGCTACCATTCTTGAAACCACCCATAAGTAATAGCCAAATTCTCTTCTGAGCTATTAGGTGCTTTGGAATGCCACTTTTGAAATGAGCCCAATCAGAGCACAAAATCGCAGTGAGAAATGGCGATCGATTCCAACGTCAAAACACCCCACGACCAATTATCTCCTCAATTCTATGGAGCGCAATTAAGAACAAGCAGACTTCAACAAGGTAAATGTTTGAGTCATACTGTCCGACAGACGTATGATTAATTCGCAGTGATTAGCTGCAATCAGAGAAAAGTGCATCGAATGAGTACATTCACCCGTAATTGTAAAAGTCTTAGTAAATGTGTTTCGTTTTCATTTAACTTACTACTGGGCGCTGGGTGAGTAATCAAGTGGGATCAAAAAAGAAAGCGTTAGGGTGACGCTTTAGGTTTAAGGCAATCGGATAGATTTCAAAGGCACTCTCTAAATCTAGTCTCAAAAAAGAATAAATTAGTTCATATGACACCTCGATACCTGTTGCATGCTGTCTTCGGGGTAATTGCCAAATTACGGAACGTTTAGAACCGGCCTAGTTTAGCCGTATTATGGATGTTTTTGTGCCCTCTTGAGACTACAGAAAGCTACGTAGGTGAGAACTAATCACACTGCTGATCACACTCGTAGCCAGGTGATCAAGTTTTCAACCACTGGCCAAAATTCAATGCTTCAAAACTCTGAGCTTTGTGAGATGTACACTGTGGATGATTTTTAACAAGGTTGAAACAGCTGGACAATGCTTCTCGGCTTTTCAGCACAGATGGCTTCCCCCGACAAGATGGAACCTCTAGTAAAATAGATCCGCTACAAACAACTCAGATTCGGTGAAGTTGGGATAGATGGGTATAAATTATTTTCTGATGCAACTCGGCAGGCAACATATGCCGTGCGACTGAGGGCGAAGCTCATGCAAAGCAGGCTTTAAATATAGAATTCCGCAGACAAATAACAGAAGCCTGTGCTCCGAAAATTCAATGCTTCAAAACTCTGAGCTTTGTGAGATGTACACTGTGGATGATTTTTAACAAGGTTGAAACAGCTGGACAATGCTTCTCGGCTTTTCAGCACAGATTGGCTTCCCCGACAAGATGGAACCTCTAGTAAAATAGATCCGCTACAAACAACTCAGATTCGGTGAAGTTGGGATAGATGGGTATAAATTATTTTCTGATGCAACTCGGCAGGCAACATATGCCGTGCGACTGAGGGCGAAGCTCATGCAAAGCAGGCTTTAAATATAGAATTCCGCAGACAAATAACAGAAGCCTGTGCTCCGCTGGTGAAACGTTTGAACAGGACAACCAGTTAGTAACCGCGGCTGAAAAACCGAATGTTCTTAACACGAGCGGCTGTTCTTCACACAAAAGTTATGCTGGACAGAGTTAACACGATGTTTCTGACCTTACTACGAACGACGCCTCTTCACTTACCTTGGATAAGACGCATGTTTCCCAGCAAGTCCTTGATTCTTCCGTTCTAAGACGTTGAGAGAAAAGTGCCAGACATACTCACAGTAGTACAACACCGTTCAGTTTGTGTTTCTTACAAAGAGATTGCTCGTATTTGTGTATTTTGTGTGTATCCTTGTGCTTATATACTACGAAACAATTGGATATGTTTCCATTGGCACCAATGTACGTTTGCCCACCTTTGTTAATATAGGGTGCTTAACACAGAGTGTGGAATACTGATGATGTCTGCGGCCACGCGGTTAACTAAGATGTATGGTTTAACAC